ATGAAGCAATTATTCTTGCTGAGGTTTTTATTTTTCTGTTTCCGTTAGCATTTCGATAACTTTGCATGACTCCAAAAATCCAACATCCAACAAAATAGGATGGAAAACTGTTTAGGTGGAAAATCCTTATAAATTTACCAAGCCCTTCATATTGTAATAATGGGTACTAGCTGGACAAAGATAAGCTTTTATACCTTTACCCAAAGGGTACGTAAAATGACATGTAAAATAGATAAACAAAGCAAAAAGACCGTAAAAGGTCAAACTTTAAGATTACTCATTTGGTGAAACAGAATAAATGCAAGAGACTGGTATTTAGCGATATCATATCATGAGGGTTGTTAATAAGATGAGCTGTTTCTTTTAAATAGCTATGTTTTTTGAGTTACTCGTACTTTTGACCTTTAGCATTCTGACCCGAGTTATTAATGTGAACTCAACCTGTGGTACCGTGTGACACTATAAATTAGGAGCGCTTGAGATTTGTCACCTTTCTCTAATCTGCACATATCATCTTATGGCTTTCCACTGAATAAACAAATGAAGGACTGTTTTGAATGCTGTCTATGCGTTCATCCCGGTTGAAAGCAGCAAAGCCACACAATCAGAAGACTGAAATAGAAATACCATAACAGGTATAAGGAAGAAAAAAAGTTAGAAATGTTGACATTTTTTTTTGTTCATACTACAAGTGGAATGAATGGTAAAAAAGATAGTTTCCTAATATTCTCCTAAATTTCAAATTATATGTAGTTATTTGAAGATTGATATACTTCACTAATTTCAGATTTTAAAAGTTATTTGTGAGAATTTTGTCTCCCACCTTCGATTCTTAAATTGAAAGGTCTTCGCTTTCATAAAAAACTTCTAAATTCCTTTTGTTTTAGAATAATTATTATTTGTATTCGATATTTGGATTAATTGTACCATTAATTGTATCATCACCTTCTAAAAAATTTTGTTTTCACTTATGTCACGATTTTTCATGCTTTTTCTTTAAAAACCATCAACGGTGGAACAAACAACAAATCGAAATAATTAACTTAAACAACTAAAATTATCCACTCTTTCGGGAAGTGGATGACCTATAAACAGTTGCTGCGAGCACTTGTTTCATCACCAGTAAACGCGATACACTGAATAATATCCGACTGCTCTTGATAATAGAAGACGTATACTATTGACCGGATTTTTATTTAAAGCAGTTGATTTTCTGGAGAACAAAATCTAGTTATTTTCTATTTATTTTAACAAAAAAGCAACACTATAAGTAATTTTTAATGAATCGAAAATTGCATTTAAGCAAGAGTTTAATGCTTGCATTTCAAACAACTTTGCTTTAATTTTAAAACATAAGAAGTAGCGCTGTAATGAATTTTACTTAATAGGAAAATTCAACAAATTAATTTAATCCATACAATCAAGCATTATGTATAGAACACAGCAAACAGAAGAAATAAATTACAATGCATATGAAAAAAACTTATATACATGAGATGAATAAAGAATAAGCTAACGACAAGGATAACGACAGATCACGACAGTCACAGATATCATCTATATGCTTTCGGCTTCACCACTATTCAGCAACATTTATGCTTGTACCAATTTTGAGGATTGGAGCCAGCGTTATTCATATATTGAAAAAAGTGACTGAAAATAGTAATTATTCGAAATTGTTTTTTATGTTCGAAGACTGATCTGAACATAACTAAACTCCACTTTAATGCTTTCAAAGTGTCGCCATATGCTGGTCATCAGGACAAAATTCTTTTTATCATTAAAATTCTAGACGTCTTCTTAATGATATTATATTAGTTTTTTGAACATTTCTTAATCGTTTTTCAAATCAGCAAAGTTGGCATGAAAATTAAAAGCTTCCAGTTATTCTTTTAGCTCACAAAAAAATGAAAGTCTTTTCAGCAAAATAATGATTCAAAACAAAACTGTAATAGAAGCCACCGTAAAGAAATAATGAATGACTTATGAAAAGAAAATGAGATGAATGAATAAGCCATAAAAAATGAAAGTTTCGATAATTAATTCAAAAAATAAATTATTTATTGTTTAGACAATACTAACAAATGCACTGCTGCTTACCGAAATTGCAGATTCATTTGTTTTTCCTTCCAATATGAAATGAAATGAAAATTGCTGAGTTCTAGGTCACACTAATGCTGCAAATAAATTGTTAAATGCCAATGAACAGAAACAAATTTCGATTTTTCATGCAATATTACTAAATATAATTAAATTTGGTTTGGAGCAGATTATCCAAAAGCACTCCACAAAATTTACTTCATTTTTTTATTTTTCTCTTTTCGCATTTTGCTCTGCAGGGGGACTATCGGTTAAATTGCACCTATAACTTTTAGTTATGACAAAGGCCAAAAGGGATTCGTGAAACGTATTTGCTTATTTCACGAATGTTGTGTCTGTAAATTAGTACCAGGTGTATTTCTTTTTGATGTCCAGAATGTCTGGGGTTAAAAAATTCCATACAAAAAAGTGATGTCGAGAAAAGGCTAAAATTTCTTAAATCAAAAAAAAAATTGTTGCTAATCGAAAATTATTTCAAATTTCAGCATATCATTCCAAGTTTTCACATATTTCGGCTTTTAAATCCTATCTTACCATAATTGTTTCAGAATTAATGATCCTCATGCACAATAGAGCACAAAGAGCCACCGTAAAGAAATAATTTTCGTTTTGCTCATCATATGCTTTGGAAAGAATTATTTTGAAACTGGAAAAAATGAGAAAAGCGGCTAGATCGCTGAAAGGCTTTAAAAAATGAAATGGATTGATCACTCTGAAAATTCTATCCTCTCTTTTCCTATATAACATCTAATTTATTAATCAGGCAATAGGATGCAATAATAGTGAAGAAATCTCTCAGTTCGTCGATGTTTTATATTTTATTTTACGCAAAGCATGAATTAAATGCTTAGATTTGATTGGAAACAAAAAATTACGGTCATCTAATTGATGGAATAGGTTTTCAATATATTTCCAACAAGTCAGTATAAATTATGTCATTTATCATTTAATGTGCAGTGATTATAAGAAATAAAATTTATTTTAACGACTTGTTTGGAAAAGAAAATTTTTAATTTTGGGATGGAAAAACTCAAGTTTCGTATTTTACAGTAATTTTTTACAGACTAATAAAATTTTAATTCTCTATTTAATTTGTAGAAACTTTCAAGTCGGAAAGCATCATGTTAGCAAATAAACAAATATGTGAATAAACCTGGTGAAGGAAAAAATAAGCAGTTTATTAAGAAATATAAAACGATTAGAAGTAATTTAATTACTAATATTACTATCACTTTAGAAATAAGTTATTTTACCTCAAGCTTCCTAACTTACTTAGACACAAATGAAACTTAGAAATAGGAACTTGCAATGTTGAATGTATTACACATCCTTCGTCAGTTAACAATCAATTGGATACAAAGGAAATCTGTAGAATCCATCCTTAGCTGTTAACCTTGTTTGAAGCTCATGCAAAATCTAAAATAATTTCGTATCAAACACTGCGAGCAGCTCCATCAGTAATTCGGAAAAAGATTATAGGATGTTACGAGACTGACGAAAAGTATGACTTCGATCTGTCGAATTTCTGTTATGTTTTTATCAGTAAAAAAACTGTTTATTGTAATGTTCTGTTTTCCTCATACTTTTTCTTCGCTGTTCCCAATTTTCTTCCCAAATAACTTTCGGCACTTAGTACAAACAAAAGATTTAAAGAAGTAGAAATAAAAATAGAGACAAAATGTTTTCATTTCTTCTCATCAAAAAGAATACCGCCATAAAAAATGTTGACCTGGGAAAGTTGTTTAGGTGCTTTATGATGGAATCACATCTTACGTACTTTTGCTGAAAAAAGAATAGATGGCCTTACCAAGTACATCCATTTTAAAACTTATCTTCATCTGGGAATTTCACCTTTTTCAGCTCTATTCCTGGAATTAGTCCTGGAATTGGGTTTTTTTGAGATTTTTCTGAACCTTGTTTTCACAATTCTAAACAGAAAAAAATACCGCAGTACATTATCAAAACCTGAATTTCATAGACTTTACAAGTTTTTAAAGCACATTCACTTAACCTCTTATTGGTTTATTGAAAATTAAACAGTATCAAAAGCATGATTTATTACAAACGAATCTGTAAGGTATTGCATCACTTCTCTGCTTAATAAAAATTCTTCGCCAGGAAGACTTTTTGCAACAAAGAATTCCATACTTGTTGAGAAATTAGTATTCAAAGGATATTTGGCAAACATTATAACCACTAATCAAGCAAAACATTTAATCAGTTGTAATTCGGAAACGTTTAACATTTTTCCCCACTTCATATATAACAGCCTGGACCAAAAGTTCGGACTTCAAAACATTAAAAAAAAAGATAATAGTCCAATGAAGATTGCAAAGGCTTCTGCAGTATTTTTCTTGATGATGCAGTGTTCACTTATCGCACATAAATTTGGCATGAAGGCAAAAAACTAGATAATTTTTGGAGGAAATAATAGGAAAGCATCATTGACTGTCATGTCCTGACAATAAATGACAAAGAATATTTAAATAGTTGTGTTAACATGAATTAATTCGTTCTACATATTGCGCTCATTAGGTTAATATTTGCAATGTTATTGAAATAAAGCGTGATTAAAATAAACTATGACTTTGCGTAAGAGAAATATTTTAAAACCTAAATAGGTTTTCACCAAATTCCTTCGTTAGAAGTTTTCGGGTACAAATGAAGTTTTGAAAAATATTCAACAGCGAAAGAATCTGCAAAGTATGAAAAACTGGAACACATGAAGAAATGTTCTACACCAGCTTGCCTATTTAAGATGTGTTTGGCCTATTTCCGGGTGCTCTAACAACCAATTGACTTTTACTTCGATAAAGAAAAATAACCTAAATAGGTTTTACTCAAAACAGGCAATACTTCAAAAGATATATTGAAAATACTTTGCACATCACTTAAGTGTATCAAATTTCTTCACCTCCGTAATCCGGACGAGAAAGATAAGCTGCTGTCTGAAAAAAGTTTAATTTTTTATAGGTTGCAATAAAAAAAAAGCGGAAAAAAAAAGAATATTCATTGAAGAAAAATCCATAACGACCAAAAAGATAATTCGAAATTTCAATTTATATATATACCTTTCTACTCGATTTCTCTCTTGTTCCGTTATGGTTTAAAAATACGGATTCAATAGACATCAAACTTCCCTCTCCGAAACAAAAAAAAAAAAAAAAAAAAACAAGCAGATACACTTGCTATATCAAAACTGAATACAACTAACCTTTGTCTGAACATTTTCTAATTTCGGACAATTTGTGATACGATGGCCCAATCCGGAGCAATATGCACAGCCCTTATCATCAGCATTTGCAGAATCATTTGGTTGCTCCAATTCTGGACCACCCATATCTCGAAGGAATAAGGGCAATTCTTGACCCGCTTCAAGCAGTAAAGCTCGTAAATCTTGCAGCACAGATATATCTACAAAATATTACAATGAGTTATAAGTTATCAATTTGATTATTTCTTTAATTCACTTTTGAAAATTCAAACTAACCCGCTCTTCTATTAATGAAGGTTGTCGCCATTCCTTTTCGACCAGAACGCCCTGTACGTCCAATACGATGCACTAAAATACGGAAAAATATATAAGTAAACTAATTAGTACTATCGTTTTTGAAAAATAAATAAAAATATAAACGGGAAATAAAACCATCTGATATGTAATGTCATAGCTATAAAGATGTATGGGAGAAATAAATTACCATAATTTTCGATATCTTCAGGCATATCGAAATTAATTACATGCTGAATATTTTCGAAATCTAAACCCTTCGAAGCAACATCGGTTGCTACCAGAACATCTTTTTCACCTCGCCTGAATGCATCGACGCCAGTATGACGGTCCTTTTGGTCTAAAATTCTAACACGTTTGAAGTTTTAAAAAAATTTGTAATAAAATCTTCACTTCGTCTCCAAAGCAAGAAATGATTACTGATTAGCTTAATAATCAAAACTTCACCTTTCCCGCCATGTAAGGAAGCGACATCAACTCCTTTCACTAACAAATATTCATAAATATTGTCCACATCACTCTTTTTCTCCGCAAATATTAAAACTCTAAAACAACTGAACAAATATGGAAAAAATAAAATGAATGTACAGTACAATTACTGCCAGTAGGTGAACATGATAAGGGGAAAACAAAACGATCCTGCTTCCTGTAATTGTAATCCATTTTTTATATAAAAAAATTGTTTAAAATACAAAAATATTTGTACAACATTTCTCTAATTTTCTGCTTTAAAAAATTTGGGTTCCTAATCGATTCTTTAACTTCGCAAATTTAAACCAGTAATCAAAAAAAAAACCGTTACAAAATTAGGGGTGGCTTGTAAAGCTTACATAGAAATACGTGAAACTACATAAACGGCTTTGTAATTATATAAAATAGTCGAAAACCATATTGTATATAGTTACAAAAAGCAAAAAACTAAAGAAATAATTACCTTGGAGCTGTTTTCTGCAAACAATCCAATATCCTAGTAAGTTTTTCATCAGCTCGAACATATTCAATTTCCTGAATAACATTTAATGATGCAGCACCAGCACGTCCAACATTTACAATCACAGCACGAACTAAAGCCGATCGAGCAAAGTTCTGTATTTTACGTGGCATTGTAGCTGAGAAGAGTAAAGTTTGCCGCTGACCCTAAACAAAAACAGTACTGATTTGTGTAACGAATAAATTAAAATGAGATGCACAACGAAGCGATTTACAAATTTAGCAAATCAGAAAGAAAAAACTGTTAATAGTAAAAATATGATATATTTACTTAGCTTAGTTGTGCTTGAAACATCTGAGTAATAAATATACTTAATAAAAGATCCCATATAACAGCATAAACAAAAACACCTTGAAAAATGAAAATATAGTCCTTATTTCTTCTTCGAAACCCATATCAAGCATTCTGTCTGCTTCATCTAGCACCAAGTATCGGCAGACTTGCAAATTGAAAATTTTTTTGCTCAATAAATCTGATAAACGACCAGGCGTTGCAACACACACATGAACACCTCTACAAATTTATTCTGTAAAAAAATGTCCATAGTGCATATATATTATTTTCGGGATTCATTAAAAAGGGACTATTAAATATATAAATTATTTGCAAAAGATACCTTTCAAAAACCCTAGCCTGTTCACTAATTGGTAACCCACCAATACATAGACCAACTCGAAGTCTAGGAAACTTCGTGCCATCGCAAATATTCTCAAACAACTTTTCGATGACATCATGGATCTGCTTCGCTAATTCACGCTAAATAAATTAAGTAAATCAGCAAAACTCTGCATCTCTTTCATTTTATTAACAGATCATAGCAACAATTTTTCTTCAACATTAATAATGTATCAACAGTTTTTCTCCATGGGTATAAATTGCTAAAAATTACCGAAGGTACAATAATTAAACCATATGGCCCTTCACCATGTCGAAATGGTAGGGACACTTCCTGCTCCAAGCAAAACATAATCAATGGTAATGCAAATGTCAAAGTTTTACCAGAACCGGTTGAAGCTATACCAATCATGTCGCGTCCTGAAAGTCTGAAAAATTCGAAAGTCCTTATTATCAAGCACACTACATACAGATAGAGGGAATGTAAGAAAACATACGCAACTGGTATTCCCTGCATTTGGATAACAGTTGGACAAATGATCTTCTTATCACGTAAAGCTTTGATTACTGGAGGAGGAAATTTCATCTCCTGAAAACCCAAAATTCATTTGAAGAAAATATCCGCTACCCAAACATCTTTCCCATCAGTTCTACGCTGAATGTAGAGTAATTAACATTTTTTACTGATTGAAATTGCTTGAGTCATGATTACTCGATATTAAACATGTAAAATATAACGGATGTAACAGAATTTTTTTTCTTAATTCGTGAATAAGGATACTGCTTTTACTTAACAAAACAATAAGTCTCCAAAAACTAACAATGAAACTACCAATTGGTGGAGGTACATTTTCACCATCTACCAAAATTCCTTTCTTCCGGCGTATTGTCGCATGCTCCTCGTCACTCACTGCCAATATATGGCGGGGAGGATGCCAACTGAATAAATTTTCTTTGAGAAAAAATAAGAGTTCATTTTTTTTTCGAACCAATGTTAAGTTCTCTTTGTTTTTATAAAAAACTGACATCGAGAAATTTAACTAGAAAAGTAGCATAAAATTTATACAACAAAACCTCGTCTTAATTGATTCATCGTATCTGACACCCTTAGCAATTTCAGCAACAGCCATAAGAGCTAAAAACTAGAAGGTTTGGAAATAATGCAATATTCATAAACTCTCTATAGACTCCTTTTTTCCTGATATATATATTTTCATATATATTACTTTAGAAAAATAAGAGATCATTACTACCTGTTCCAGGCGCAACACTTTCCAGTAACTTTTGCTCCTCTTCTCGCTTCTTTTTTTCCGAATCTTTGTCTCCTTAAAGAAATTTAAAATTTAAACTGCTAGTTAAAATACCAAAATAACTTTGGGCACTCACCAACTTCTGCTTCCAAGAGTTCATTATGTTTTTCAAGAAGTGATTTTTTCGCTTCTTCTGCTTTTCTTTCCTCCTCTTTTTTGCGCCGCTTTCGCTCGAAAAACTCCAAATCTTCTTGTTCTGTATCCACATCTGGAGCGCCACCTTTTGCATGCAATACTTGTTTCAGTAAGGCTCTTCGATGCATCTTAAAGTCTTCAGCAATGTTATGCAAATAACAAAAAATGAATGTGCTACTGAGACAAGAAATCAGCATAATATCATTACATTAAGCTTGCTGCAATAATTTTGATCAATCATGGAAGTTTCTTGTAAAAAATCAAATACTTCTTATTTCAAAGAAAAAAATTACATAGTTGAGGCTTTAATTTCAAAATAGAAGTAGGGTTGGAAAGAGTCGGAAATCTTGAGTTAAGAAGTCAGGATTCAGAATACATATAAGTTAGTGAAAATTACTTTTTCTTTCTTCCGTAGTCTAGCAGGGATAAAGACATCATCCATACTAGTATCTTCTTCATCTGATAAAAGACCTTCCCGCCGTCTTCGCGCTTCCTCCTCTTCTATTTGTTTACGTTTTGCCTGCAAACATTTATATGCAAGTGATCAAAAACTATGAAAAACATATTTAAAGTAAAATAGTCGAATCTAGCTCATTTTCGACATATTTTCGAGTATTAAGAAACTTTTTATCACCAAATAATAAAAATGTCATCGACAAAATAATTCACATAAATTTCCTAATGTCAAAGCTGCCGACAGTTAAAGGTTAAGAAATAGTGTGATAGACATACCTGATATTTCTGGAGTGCAAGCAATACATCTCGACCTGAAGACGTCCCTGCCTCATCTTCGACACCACTCACAGCAACCATAGCTATAGACTCTACTGCCAACAATTTCAGATTCAGGGAATCCGGCAAGACGATACCTTGCTCAACATGAAATAAACGATCCCACCGAACCGCTGCATAGTCATTCATCCATTTATTGTGGAAATGAATGTGTTGTGAAGAAGGATTTTCTTATATTTCTTTTTCTTTTCTTTTTATTAGCCGCTATAAGTTATAAAGTAAAGACATCCGTTATTGTATCTTTATTTCTTTCATAAGAATAACAGAAGCGAAGGATGTAATTATATTGAACAGAATTTCAACAAAGTTATGACACTGTTCAGATTATATCAATTAAGTTTGTCATTAATCATCCTCATCGTTTCGCGATTGATTTCTTCATTCATTAATAGCTGTGAAGAGAATTCGGTGTAAAGAACTTAGTTCTTAGAGAATGTTTGTTGCTGGGACTATTTTCTTTTTCGAAAGTAACCTAGTAATCTTTCAAGTAAGTTAAATCCAAAGTAAATTAAGTTACCTATCTCTAACGGAAAATGCATACATGTCTGTCTCTAAACTCAAAATACTTTCCTCCATTTATCTGGCTTTTTGAAGTACTCCGGGTACATAATATATAAAATTGATCTTGAGAACTAACTTTAAATAATATTTGGTTACTCATTAGTGTTTCACTAGTCCTTCTGATTCCCTCATCAAATTCTTGAGTATCTCTTCTTGCAGCATCCGTAACTGTTTGATTTATCTTCAAAAGTATTCCAAGATTTAAGTGAAAATATGATATTTAATGAGTATTATAAACTATAAACTAGATAGGAATTGCAGCATAGATACTAAATTGTATACTAGTATTTTGAAAGAGAAGGGAAGGATCTATGCCACTTTCTCATTTGCATAATAACTACATTTATATATTTGACTCAAAGTTATTCAATAAATTCAACAGTAATTGCATAATTTAACACACCAAAGTCTGATAGAATTTCCATCAGTCTTCGAGCTACACTTACAGTTACCATCGAATTCTTCCTTAATAGCTTTTCAGTCTAATCTAGGCATTAAATTACAGGTATATTTAAATATACCTGTTGTATATTTTCTACATCAAGCAGTTTTTCATTCATTGATTGCATGTGTTCAAATGATTTATTCGTAAGATTTTTTACATATGCCACAGTGAATAACGCCAATGCTATCTGAAATAGGGGTTTCCCCTTGTTTTTCACTAAAAAATTTAAGCTCATGTCTTCTGAGGAGAAAGGGAAGTAAGGTGACAGTTAGATGAACAAACATTGTACTTGCAACAGCAGTAACCAATTAAAAATATCAGTTAGATTTGCAACGTATGAAGTACTGTGCGGAAGAGTTGAATTCTTTTGAAAGTATAAGAAGAGATAAAAATTAACCTCTGAAAAGATAAGCAAAGTGAGAATAATAGCAGGGAGAACCGCTTGTGCTGCATCAATGAATTCTGTCGTGTACAGGATTCTGCTACCATTCACATTTTCACTAATTTTAATAACTTTGAAGTAAATTTCTCAATGAAGGTTTTTTTCAAGAAATACATAACGTCTTATTGTCATAAATGAAATTTAAGTGAAGGATAATCAAAATCTCGAATAGTCGTGAAGTTATTTAAAAATGTTTACTTAAACCAAGCAATCAAATATTGGTTTTTCCAGCAGAATGCTTAAAAGTAGTTGAACTAAGTAAATGAAGGTACAGATGAGAAATTTTTTTCCTTTCCACGTTTCGAAGTCCTCTTGAAAATAAGTTTAGTGCAAAATTGGCGGAATGTTAATTTCAAACGATATACCGTCCAATCATTGTCAAACATCTTTAAAACTTCAAATACCCTAAATTCAGGACTTTGTACAGCGCTATCAATAACGGTAATTTTGATTAAAATTACTTAACACAAGATAATTCTTATATATTAGAACCTTTCCATTTCATCAAATGAGCAACCGCTTGTTTCTTTCAAAGACATAGAAATACCTTAGAATTAGTAGTATATAATTGAAACTGCTCCGTTTAGTAGGTTTTTTTTTTCACATATGTAAATTTAGAAGTGTTAAACATCGCACGAAACCTTTGTGTGGATAGAGTGCTGTATGCGGACTTCCTTGCTTGTGTTAGGCAAAAGAGCATGTTTATAGAAACTAAATTTATCTACCGAGTTCCATATCATCCAATCTATACAGTTGAGATTAGATCATAATAACTTAGTTCAACCAATAACTTGAATAATGAAATAATTTTGAATTAGGTAGAATGATTAACTTAATTTTAGAGAGTCTCATTTAATTCAATTTTTACTAATTGGCGCTAGGGAAAACATAATGATTTCGAGATGTAACCATGGCGAATCTTTTGCTATACGAAGTTAATGCTAAAGATAGTAGCATAATAATTTCTTGGCCGTGAAGTAATATGATTAGGTGAATTCTGAGAAAGCGTTTTCGATCTAATCTTTTTTAATAATTCGGGCGCAGTTGTGTTAACTGATCAGGAAAACAAATGAGAAAAAAATTTGAAAAGTAGGAAAGGTAGAACATTTAGCACTAAGTAGCTATTTCTATCGAGTATGGATTAAGAAGTTTCGTAATATTTTCAAATATTGGCCAAATTTTTTACCGATCTGAATCGTTTCTTTTAGAAAGCTATCATTGACAGTATCATTTGTCAGTAAATAGATCGTCCCACGAAATGAGGAATTTTCATGGACAAGTGAATAATTCATTGCTTTATGTAATTTTCAGCTGCTAAATTGTTGATCCCAGTTTCTTTTTCAAATTCCTTTTGGTTTTTTTACATTGCTTACAACTTATTTTAACTCTTTATTCCAAAAAAATAGTCGGAATTTGTGGCTATGGATTGGTGATTTGAAATTCAAAATTCATTTCCGCACTTAGTAGAGGACAGTCGTCACTTCTGAAGTTGTCTTCATTCCTCGAACACTCGATTTAGTAACGATAGTTAGTTTTAACTGTTAACGTGAACACAAGTCTGAAATCAACTGTAGTTATCATTTCATATAAGAAATTTGTCTGCTAAGAGCTTTCAAATGGAAATAGTAATGGAAAAGTTCAAAAATCACATAAAGGAGAATGTAGAAAGCTTTAGAGGAAATGAAAAAGCATAAGATGAAAAACTCTTTTGCACGACTAAAATTACGGAAATGATCGTTTATTTCAAGTCAACCTTACAAGCAATGGAAATCTTCTGACAGTGAGTGACATGATGAACTTAATAATAGACTGCAGTGAAATGAACAGCCATCTTGCATTGTCGGATGCATAGCTGAGTTCTTGATGATCTTCGCCCACAAACATCTTGTGCATATTAAGCCTAAGAATGAATATAAAAATCAAGAGCATGCAGCTAGAAATGAAAATCTCCTCCAAATAATTAAACCTGACACAAATTGGAATACAGAATATAATTTTTTATTTATCAGCTTTTTCCATTTCAATTTTTTCCCTGCAAATAATAAATTCTCCTGAATATTCAGGAACTTCGCATACCGCAACTAACCTCTCTTTGTTATTTTCTTCATCACTTTAGCAGCTACAAACTGAATTTTCTTAGATTTCATTTTTGACAATAGCTATGAAATATTGCAATTGACTGTTTAAAAAAAAAGGAATCAATTTTTGCTTATTCAGTTAGCTCGGCAATGAATTTCCCGATCGTTTCCCCTATCGTAACTTTATCTCTTTGTTATAATAAAATTAAATTACATTTATATTTTATATCCTTACTTGAGTTATTAAAAAGTTGTGTAGGACAATCATTCACAATAAAAAAATTTCTTAACAACAAAATGAATAAAGAAAACAGAGACATGAGATATTAGTATGCTAAAGTCTTACTAATTTCCGAAGAAGTATCTCATACAGATGATCCTTCTTCATCCCTTTTATTCAATTGACTCCAGGAATATTTTCATAAATGAAATAAGAAAACAAATGATGGATCACATTAGATGTGCAGAAATGTCTTTTCTTGATTTCAGAAAAGAAAATAGGAAATAAATTTCTAAAAGATCAAAACTCATATGATGTAACATTAATACAAAAACGCGAAAGCATTTACAAATCAGAAACTGCAGTACAGGTAAAGTGCAGGACAAGTGCAGGACAATGTAATTTGGCAGAAATTAATAACTATTAAGTTAATTTAATGCAATGTCTTGTTATTGTATCGTCGAGAATTTTCTACCAACTCATTCTATCGATCTTCGAGATTTCCTATCAACAAATTTAATTAAGGCCGTCGAACAAATGCAGATTTTTTGATTTTAAAGTTCTCATGAGTTAGTAAAAAAAATTCCTACACAAACTTTGAAAGAAAAAATATATATGCGTGAAGCTCATAATACTTTGTGCAAATCAGTTCAGGAATTCAGCAAATGGAATGCAAACGTATATCAAAAGATAAAGAAAAATTGGATCAAATAATTTTGAAAAAAGGCGGAATTTTCTTGAAAACTCTTCAGATTCTAAACAAATGAATAAATGGAAGAAAAAAAAATGTTATTTGAACCTTTCAGAATTAGATTTCCAGTTTCAGACAATATAAAATAATCGGATAATTATCATTCATTTTCTTCAAAAATAACGAAGGAAAACAATCTGATTGTTCACTTCAAAAACAGCTAACAAAGTAACGATTCTGGAAGGAAGTCTATCTACAGAACTTCTGGAAGATCAGTTTTAAGAGAAAGATGTAAAATATATTTCATAAATTCACTGTCTTTATTCTACGGAAAAATTAATTTTCAGATGGATCGCCAAATAAATGAAAACAATTTTATTTGTAGAATTATAGAATTATTTTGAAATCCAATGAAGTCTGCCATATTGGTTGAATGCTTTTAATGAACAAAAGATAAATATTTTCTTTCGCTTCCATACAGATTTAAATAAAGATAAAGATTATAATGAACCTCGAACTGTTCGATTTTCGAAAGTACTCGAAAATTTCTGTTTCGCTATTTGAGAAACATAATAAAAGTCTACGAATAAAATAAAAATTGAAAAACACTTTCTACCAGTAACTTTCTACCTCAAACTGAGAACCAATGGTAATGTAGAGTGAATTTATTTCTTCAAAAATAGAAAAAATTTAGCCAATAGTTGAGAAAAACGAATTACTGCTTTCGAAGATTGTGTGGAATTCAAACACTTTCAATCTTATTCTCTTCAAATTTCAATAAATGTAATCATTTACAAAGCAAACCTGAAGCGTTTGCTAGCAAGAAGCCATCAGCTTACAATCGTCTTAAGTTTTCAAATATTTTGGATAGTCTAAGCGCTAGCCATTTGAGGTTTTTAAAAAACATTTCATACATTTTCGTGTTCCCTCATACATAAAATTCCGGTTGCGGAAATTGCTTATTTTGAATTACGGCAGTTGCTAATTCATAGCTTGATTTCGACCTCCAGCATCTAATCAGCCGGAAAATGAATGCACAGAGCAATGTCAAAATAAATATCGAAATGGCAGCAGTGATAGAGATATGATAAAATGACTCCATAACAGCACTTGGTGAACCTGAAAAACAACACTTACTGGGCCTAAAGTAATAGAACAGCATTACGATCCCTATTTCACCTTGTTAACAACTATGATCGGACTTGTAAAGTATGAAGACAAAAGAACGAATCGTAGAGAAGATGCAGAACGGAGGAAAGGAATGAAATGGACGAACGCCAGCCTTATATATAGGCCTGTCCTAAGCTAAGCCTGTGTAAGACATGAAGCAAAGACTTGCAAAGTGCCTCATTGCTCCAAGGACAACAAATTGGCAATTTTGGCCAAGGCTAACTGGCCATGCAGTAAACCAGAACCGACTAGTACAGCTTGCAACAACTTGACCAATGTTTATTAAACAAAGGGATAAAGAAACGAATAATTGGACGCAATAAATGAATTTAAGTAAATATAAATAGAGAGAGAAAGAGAGAGAGGGAAAGAGAGAGGGAGGGAAAGCTACAATTTGTCCATTTTTTGAAATGATGAAATAATTTCTCTGCTTGCTACACTAGTGCGGAATTTCTTCTGAGAAGTGAATCAAGTCCATTCCTTCATCGCAGAAATAATGTTGACAACACGGACGTTGCAATGCAGACCCACAACGTTAGTCACCACAGATTCTTAGTTATAAATGTACTACCAAATTAGTAAAATCATTATCACAATGACTAGTGAAATTTGTTTATAAAGCGACCATACATTCTCTAATCAACCGATTTCAATCGACTCATCCAGTCGATCGGAAGGTTTGATTTTCTTAAATTTGTAAACTTCTATTTTTCATACAAAATTAATGTGCATAAAATCAAAACTAAGAAACTATTCGTTCATCCTTTCTTTGCGCATAAATCTTCTTCAAGATACTGTGAGTCAACCACCACTGGAAATTCTTTATAGTTTTTTGAGCGGCATTATAGGCTCATTTAACTTAATAAGAATTAATGAACTATGAGTGATTAATTTAATCGTCTGAATTAAAAGCAATGTTTTTTAAATTCAACGTTCAAAATTAACGAGTGTTGAGTATTTTCTAATGAATTGATTTATAAGATTTAGATCTCAGGATCCATAATCGATATTAAACAAGTTTATGATGTGGACATTAATTGGAGAATTGCATTGGTTTTAATGTTCACCCGCTGTAACGCGAATAAAATTACTTAGAACAAATATTCTCGTTGCTATCAAGTGAAGCTGAAAATTGGTGATAAAATGAAAGGAAGTCATTGCAATGTATTCATAGTGCATCATCACTCACTCATCACATGTCCAACCACTACTCATCATCATCCACATCCTTTCACTTCATTCTGTCACGGTGAATCTTTGAGACAGTGTCACCACGTACATGTCAACAAAGAAAGAATATAGCGAAGGAGAAATGGAACAAAGACAATTGCAAGCATGTGATCGCTCTACAGTTCAATGCAGTTCTTGTGAATTTTGTTTAAATTAGAGCAGAAGTAATAAGTGCATTTGCGCTTCATCAGGCAAGATTACTGAGGACAGAGAACAAGAGATGAGATTTAAGTTTCATTGGACTATTTTGATTGCTAATAAGTTATGAAGCACTAGAGACTGCTGTCAATAAGTATCTTTTCGGTAGAAATCAAGGCAACACTTTTATTCGTAACGATTGCTCATCTCTTTTAGCATAAATAAATTTAATTTACTGCAGCAAAAGGCCAATTTGTAATGGACTTCTCCGCCTGAATATTTTACTAATTTTTATCCATCAATCAAACATACCAACACACAACCGCATAATTTCAGTTTGTTCGAGCGGAAAATGATGAAATCTGATTTAAAGGAAATGAGTGAAGAAGCAATTAAACAAATCTCTGATGGCAAATTGTCTTTTTTTGAATTTGAAATGAAAAGCCTCTTCTATCTATTACTCATACACATTTGCTGAAATGTTCATTTCAAAAGAAATTCCATCTCAAAGGTTCGTTAAAAAAGAATTTACTAAGCTATTTCAATCACTAGATACCATCATAGTGATCTGATAAATGAGTAGAAGGGTTTTCGAAACTGAAGAAAGCTAGCGTTTTAAGATCTTTCCTATCTTAATATCTCTCGAAAATAATAACCAGTTAAAAACTGATAAAAATACTGCAGTGTATTTGGCCCATCTGTCTAGTCTAGCAGAACTACGAATAGGACAGTACCATCCATAGGTAACTATAGCCAAATTATTCAATTGCTTTTCTGCTGTTTAGTTGCAGTTATCATCTCTCTTTGAATTTAGCTTCAGAATTATTCAATTATTCAGTGGATCCGGTTAATTTGTATTCTGCCGGCAGAGCACACACTGGATTGGCTATGGTATTCGTTACGACAAATTTGTTTGTGTCACTTCTTTATCATAGAATATCAATTCAAAATGGGAATTGTTAAGCGAAGAGTTAGCTTGTCACTTTAGTCTTAAAATTTTTGCTAAATAATTTAAGAACTGAAAATGCAGTCTATCATTGCTCTATTCGTTCAAATCAAAGAAACGTATCTCCTATCAGAATTCATGATATTTGGCTTACATTTTGCCTTAATAGATATTCATATTGCTTTCAGATGAATATTCCTATGAACAAATAATGTTTGCACTTGGAAAAGAACTTGATAAATTTTTATCCTTAAAAATCCCTTGTGAAGAAATGATCAAACCTTGCATGTTCATGTTTCGTTATGGAAGTATACTGCCGAGGTGCATCTTTTACACTGCTTGAAGTTCTAACAATAAGTTAAATTCATTTATTTCGGTCTAAAGTTTCATTTTCCTTTGAATTAATCTTTCCCTTTCTCCAGCCATTTTCTATTCTTAAAAAATCATAGAGAAGCAACGCAGATAATCTTTTAAAAATTAAAAATGCGACAGATCAGAAATCAATGAAAATTTTTCTGAGAATAATATAATAATAATGATGGCTATTTCGTTCCAATGTCAACTTATCATAATTGATATGATATTTCTTCATAATATTTGTTAGTGCTAAATAAACTGTAAGAGACTAACTAGTTGGTGATGTAACAAAAGTTATTTGGTGAGCTAACTGTTTAGGGTTAATAGCAATTCGGCAAGTAATGATATAGGGATCACATTCATAATATATCGTCTCTCAACTTAAAGACAGAAAATATTTGTGGGCTAGTAAATTGATAATTAATTGCAGCTAGGAAAGGCCTTGCATCTAATAAGGAAAGGAATAATAGAAATGTGTCACTCCGTTGTTTCTGCTTTAATAGGAAATGCTTAACATATTAACACTTCCTCAATTGTTGCGGTTAGTCTTAAAAAAACTAATTTCAACAGAACTAGTCACTTCGACTAGTAGTATTGAAATATAATGCAATTTTAAAAAATACATAAGTTAGCTGGCAAATTTCTACAGAAAATACAAACAATCCCTTCTTGCCGTTTCATATCTTTAATATACTTTGTTCTGAATTCTTTTTGAAATTTAATTTATCACTTAAATCATTTTTTCGGAGACGTTGAATTTTCAGTAACTTATGTAACTTTTTTTGTTTATAGATCCATTTATTTAAATTCATGCTTTCTAGATCACAGAATTTAAATTCATAGATGCCAAACTAGCCCGAAACAAATTTTGGAAAAAAAATTCTAATTATCTTATGTTGTTGTAAAAGCAACTTATTAGGCATGTAAATCCATATAATTTATATTACCTTGCTCAGAAAAAACTAAAGCTATTTGGAAATTTCGAGAGGACATATAAACACAGCGCTTTATGGAACAAAAGACTTATATCCTTTCAATGCCTTTTTCCTGGACTTATTAAAGTAAGCCGATATTTCTCAAAGAAAAGCCGAAAAAGGAGGTGGAAGAATTCGAAATAATAACAGTGTTCTGTTTCTACTTCACCTTTGATGGAAGTGAAAGTGACAGAAGTACATCATCACCTTTATACCTTCACCTTATTCCATCTTAATGACTACGACATTCGGTTCGGTTTTTATACTTGCGATATACCGCCTTTTGTCATTTGATTTCGATAAATAATGGAACACTCCCACTATTACACCTTTAATCTCAGATCTAACCTTATTCTAAATATTTTTGACAGCTTGATTGTCTCATAGAACATGTCTTACTTAACGTAAATTGCATGAATAAACTATCTGTTTTTACAGTAATAGCAATTCCTAATAATTAAAAAGTGTAAATCTTCACGTATCGCATCAATTAATCTTTACTTCTTTCTGCTACATTTCCAGTTAATTTGTTATTTTCATGCCTTCGCCTGCGTTCCAGGTTTTCCTATCAGTTTACGAAAAGCAATTCTCAAATGAATTTATTGCTTGAAATTTTGGAGGTTCAGAATATTTGGAAACATATTATTATCGAGGATCAAACTATTGTTCATCATCTTTTGTATGGGCGATTAGTTTTCAGCAAAAGGAAATTCTTCACTTATATTTTAAATCTTTCCTTTTGTCAATATGTACTTTGTCTAGTTTTTACGATTTTTCTTTTTTCATTCAAAATTTTCTTACTTTTCTACAGCTCCATTACTGGGGCTGATTACACACAACTGATTATATTCATTCCGAATATTACTGATAATCTTTTTCTTTTAAATACAAGTTTTAAAATTATTAGCTTTCTCTTTCAAAGAAAATAAAACAGTACTGAAAAATAATGAGTGGATGAATAAATACATAAAAGAAAATTTTTTTAATGGTAGGCGGAGAAAAAAATCCTACAAAGATTTCTTTTTAATGGATGTTTGAAGAAACAGATTAATAGATTTTCGATATTTTCACCAAGAATTTATTCCATCATGATGAGTAGCAGTACTGACGGAAGTATTTCATTCTTATATGGACAAAGCAATTCACATTTTAAAAGCATTTTTAGGAATAGAATAATGTTCTAATGTCCTGAGCTAATTTCGTTAAAGAGAATGCTTGGAGAAGGGCCGCAAAGATTACTAAAACTTACAACCTTATTTTTAGATTTCGTCATTTGAACTAATTTTCATTTCGGAAATGGGTTGAACGAACCTCTTCCTTGAAAAGATTCTCTCATAAAGCCATTGATGACCTCTGACCTTTGATAATATAATCGATGAGCATATAGCCAGCCATTCATACAATATATGTGAACTCGACAAAGATATGCTTCATACCTGAGAACGCTATTACCTTCCTCTTTTATGTAATATTTGCGAATCGATTAGGAATGCTTTTGTCAATATGAGCTCTTCCTTACAGCGCAACTAAATCACTTGCATGTTTTGATTTATTCTATTCCTAAGCTCCTGAACAGCTCTCGCCGATTGTTTCACTGCCTTATCTGAATGTCCAGGATTCCTTGACCCAATAGTCATCTTTTCGAGATATAATTTGTCAATCAAAAGAATGTAGCTCATTTCGATTTTCAGGATTTACAAATATAATTAAATCACTTCAAATATGCATTACCTGAAGACGCTGCTTCATCCTGTGTACTATTCGAAAATGTTTATCCATCCATTAAGTCACCACGTTTCAATCCGATTCTGATATATACCAGTAGAAAGCTATGAAGAGAAGTTTTAATGGAAATTTCATGCCTTCAATGGAAATTTAGATCCATTTTTATGACTTTAAACATTGAATAGTTTGTGAAGCACATTCGTTAATAAAACTGCTCGTTGCATTATCAATATTTACATGCATGCATAACTTGCACAAGAAATGTTACTCCAAAAGGGAATGATGCAAACGAAAAATGAAGCATAATATGAAATAAAAAGTAATTCTAGATACAGAAAGTTGACCCCTTGTTGACATGAACTGATGAAAATGGAGGAACGCGCACTTGTGAAATGCAGACATGATGCATGCAGATTTTTGTTGAAGAAAGACAACAAACAAACAACTGGTTGAATAAACAACAAATAACGAATGTATGAAATTAAGAGAGAAGTAATGATTACTGGTGGGTCTTTCTGGCACCATCTTTCTCCGCTTGCCGAGAACCGTGACCCTTACGGACTCAGTGATCGACCTTCCCCTTCCCTCCCTCTTTCCTTTCCATTTCTCTCTCTCTCTTCGAGCGAGTATACAGGACTGTGTTGGCCGTCCCATCGTCCTTCACCTTTTCTGATAACGAGAGATGATGTGGTATACTCATCCCTTCAGATACATCAGTTCTTCTATATGTGGACTGCATGCATGCATAACCTGCATGCGTAATATTTTGTTTACTTTCTGGTTTTGTGTTTATTCAATGAATGGTTAAAGCGCGCGTGATTTAATTTTAAGATCTGAACACGAAGTCGAAATGCACGCCACAATGGTGCATTTTTGAGTTTCTAATGTGTTTGAGATCCGAAAATTTACAAAAATATATATGTATCCTGGGAAATACATATCTCCTTTCCCCGGGAATCGTTCTCGGAAATTTATTTCCCTTCCTCCGAAATTTATTGCGCAATTAATATTTGAAGATTTCCATATTGCGCTTAATGCTTCATTTCTTTCACTCCATTTTCAGGCATCCACTTTACTATGCTATGACACTATGGGATGGAACAGTCGGCAGAGGTTGACCTTTGTCCTTATTGTTTTGTTTAATCGTTGATTGGTTCCAACTCCTATTGGAAGCATCCGAATTTCGTCTTACAGCTACTTAACTGGTAGCGGACAATATGCCACTCATTCTTAAATCTTTGGTTAGGCTTTGTATGTTACCTATGATTACTTACACAAACTGAATTATATGGTTTATCGAATATCTAGACAGAGATATTCTTAACAATATTTTTAAAGTTTTATTTTAAAACTGGAGAAAGTAAATATTCCGGAAGAAAGTTCCTTTTATTTTGACATAAACTCTCATTCTTCATTTCTACATTCAATGAATTCTTAAATGGTAGAAAAGATTTATTTGTTAAAAGTCGTCACCGTCAGTAAAAGTAATAACCTTTTTTCTTCATCGAAAACTCATGTCCCATTCATTTGGCCTCTAATGGTCGGCATCCTCCTTTGATGTTCTCATCTGGTGAGGTGAGGAGGGAAGGCGCATTTGTATTTACTGCGTCCAGTTTCCTTCCTTCCTCGTTGAAATTACATTTTATTTGATTTTTCCCATGTCTAATAAAACATTCTTTTTTTTTTTTTTTTTTTTTTTTTTTTGGGGGGGGGGGGGGAACAAATTACAGCCGTGGAGACAATTTAGGCTTTTTCTGCTTAAGTCTGAGTAATATTTGAAATGAATGTGGGTAATTCACTAGACCTCCAGACACTCACTGTTGATCGATAAAATTTGACCGATATCTATTTTTAATATTTTCATTAACTTTCTCCATCTTTGTCATTACTTGTTCACTCTTTCACTCTTTTCAAACAAATCGATTTTTGACATATGCAGCAAGTAGAGGGTACAATTTGATTTTGAATTATTCTTTGATGCAGTTTAATTTCACATTTGATTCCAGACATTTCCACTTTTTTAGTCTTTTTTTCCACTGACTAAGAGTCTACAAATGCAGTCGATACTTCTATCAATTCATAAACTTTCACAGTGAAGCATTTCAAAATTTGTTCCTACATCTTTCGTTGAAGTAATTGGTAACTCTTTGCGTAAACCAAAAAATCTGAATTTAACAAAAACATTTCCACTTCTTAGTGTACAGTTAAGAAAATAACTGAAGTTGTCATAATTATGACTTTTTAAAAATTTATTATTTTCGTGGCTTGGGATATAATATCAGACTTGAATGTGAGACAGTTTTATTAAACACTAGTTTCCGGAAATTTATAATTGCTTTAGTTCTTTTTTTTCTTTGTTTCAAAGTGTTTTTGTTTAAAAGATAATTTATTAAAAGAAAACAATTGCAAATAGTTTTCCAGCAATGTAAATGAATTTGAAAAAAGCTCTGAAATATGACATTATTTTTTGTTTAGCTTTTCATATGAAACATATGCGAATCGATCCCTTTCCCATTTTCGTCTTCTCATTAATACTTCAGTGACGATATTTTTGCGGCAAGATCTGAAGATATTGTAGGCTTTTGCATAACCTTGACATCCACTTCCCTTTCTTTTTTCCTTTTCTGCTCTTTATCTCACCTCTTTTCACTCCATTCTTTTAAGTAGCACACACTGAATGAAGTTATACTAGACAAGTGGCAGAACAGCAGCGATTATATCAATAAATTTACGGTTATAAACCTTCATGCAAACCTCATTAGTTTACTCAAGATTCAAGGAGACTGCTATTTTTATTTTAGCAGGATGTCATTTGCTGAGCGGAATATCTGATTTCCTTTCTGCAACTCTTTTACTCATTTCTTTCTCCAATTTTTGATGCTATTGCAATCTTCTCTCATCGAAATAATTTCACTTTTATATTTTCAAGTTAAAATTTGGACAATTATTATTTTTCCTAATAGTATCATTAGTTATTCATTCCTATCTTCTCTTTCAAATAGTGCGTATTGCGTTATATACGATAGCCTTCTCCTCTTCACCTGTTTCGTGAGCAGATATTGGAATTGTCAAAATTTTCAAAAGAGATTGGATATCGCGTGAAATATTAACATTTCAGGATCAGCGATTTATATTGTGGCAAAAATCTTGAAGTTAGGGGATGGGTTTTAGGGGTTCAGGCGCAGAGAGAAAGAAATGCTTACTAACTACGTTTGTAGATTGGGCTCAGAAAATTGATATTGACTTACTGAAAAAAGAGTGATTGTGGTACTTTATATTTTATTAATTTTATAAGTTTCTTCTCATGCCTTCATTTTTAACATGCTTCAAATGGGTACTCTTCAAAGTGTGAATGGTCTTTTCGATTAATGGCCATGAATGAGGTGCGGCTTTTCTCTTTGAATTTTTTAAAATTTTCAATCTAAAAAGAGCCGGTTTCTGATTCTGAGCTTATGTGCAGCTATTTGTCGGCAATTGTTTCTCTCTGTAACTATAATACGAAACCATTTCATCTTGTTTTCAGAATAAAAAATTGAAAAGAAATTGAAGACGAGAAAAAAAGAAGCAATGTTTAAAAGCCTTTTTCGTCCGCGACGATCAAATAAAGAGAATGAAAATCAAGAACAGTATTTGCAACAACAACGACAACATTCTGCCAATGAATTTGTTGGTATTTTTAGATTTGAATTTCAACTTCCTTTTACTAACATTTGGAAACAGTAATGAGATTGAGAAGTCGTTAGGGTTTAAAGCAGAAAATTCCAAAGTCCGAAATTTAATCAAGGTATCACTGTTTGATCTGATAATACAGATGGTACGGATGGATATGTGTCTGTTTTTTTTTTACTAATCAATTCGTTCCAATTTCTCTTTCACTACTCATTCTCATATATTACCTCTCTTCCCTCTAAGTGTTATTTCATTTCAGGAACGCAATTCATCCTCTTATAAATCACTAAGAAGTGCGCGTGAAAAGCGGTCATTCCACTCATCTCATCATCATCGAGGAAGTGCAGGTACTGCGGTGGATGACGGTCTTCCTGCGTCCACATCACCGTATCATATTGCCATCCAGAAGAAATACCCACGCGGTACGCAGTCATGCTATGATGGTCTCGGTGATGACTTCGATCGATTTTCCACCATGAATAGGTCCTTTGTTAGTGTGACACATTCAAAATACAAGGTATTTTTTATAGATTTTTGTCCATATTTTCCTGATTTCAAGACCACTAAAATCTTTGCTCAAAATCGATTATCTACCAACGTGCTGTATGGAAATGTGATATATTGTTTATCATTCATTGCTTGATTTTTTTATGTTTTACTTTTCCCTTTATTTATTTAACAGAGCACTTAATTAATTAAGACTGTTTGTCCATTTTTAGCCTTCACGCCGTGAATACATAAATATTATGCGTCGTAGTCGTTTGAATTCAGAATGTGACAGTTGTAATTTGTCACTGAACACTCCACTTCCCTATAACAGAGACTTAGATGATTCGGATGCAGAGACATGGAATTCGGAAAGGATTATTAAGGTTGGCAACTTTGGTTTATTGAAAATTTTTTAAAATCTAGTTATGGAATTAGTAAATAAATATTTCACATTTCATAAATTAAAGGAACTTCGAGCCGAATTAAGGGCTACAAACGAACGCAAGAATTATTATAAAGATTTGTACAAACGTGAACGGCAAGATAGGATACGTGATCGCGAGTTACGTGATTTGGTAGAGAAGAAACTTATGGATGATCTCAGAAATAAAGAAATGGAATGCTCTAATAATTTACTGCGAATTAAAGTTCTTGAACAGGTGAAACTTAGCTCGAATAAGCGAACTTGATATGCATTGTTTTTAGTCGAAATTTTGAAATTCGATTTGATTTTTTCCAGCAGCTCCAGCATCGCTCCAGTTTTCCGCCCACCATTCGTGAATCCTCCTTTCACGTTCCACATTTCTGCACACCATCATCATCTAATACTGGATCAACAATGGCTGGAGCAGGCGAAGCTCTGTCCAGTACTTCCGAACTGTTTGCTGTCCGAAGTGCCTATCTCATAAATCCTGTGTTCGGCAACACGGGAGTAGCAGGAACGGCAAATGTAGTAGTATCCGGCAATCTCAGTGAATTACCAGATGAAATGAAAGTTTTCCGACAACCTGATGAATTGCCGTTGGAATTAGCACGGGATAGCAGTATCATAGATACGCCATTTGATGTTAGAAATGATAATGCAATAAAAATATCCGCCAATTCGTCAGGCGTTTCTTTCGCAAATCGTGAAAATTTAAATGGAACAGTACTGGAAGAAGATCGTCAATCTGATAACGGTTATGGCACCACTTCGGAATGTGCCTCTGAGCTTGTTCGAATTATACGTCGGGTACATAGTGATTCTGAAATACCACTGAAAGTCATACAGGCATAATCCATGCTATTTGTTTACATGTTTATCACAATTTTCTTCAACTACCTCCTCAAAAAAGTATTGTCATCATTTAATCTCGTTTGTTTTTAAGACACTGTTTTCTAATATTCACTTAAATTTAACTAAATCCGAATTCTTAAGCAAGACTTTGTCAAATATGAAACTGATTTATATTAAAAATTGGTATTTTCTTATTCTTCGGTGATTTAATGTGTGGCTTAATAATATTAATAATAGCATTAATAATGTTACATGTTATCAGATTTTTTCAGATAAAGAATTTGACTTTATGTATAAATTATTATAGTAAAATTGACTAAATACTGTTGGCAATTTGTACTATACTTCTCTTTACGGTCAGTTATGTCTATGAACTGTAATATTTTGGAACAATTTATTTGTCACTCCATAAAATTATGTTGAGAATTACAATAACATATTTGTTATGAGCTTTGATCTGTATAAAACTTGCATGAGAGCTCTCAGACTGATCACGAACTTCACCGCTTAAATCGTTTAAATCCATTCAATCCCAGTCATGAACAAAATTATCAATACATCAGAATTCCTGGCTTTCTATCCGAATTCTTTGGCATTAAAAATGAATTAAATTTACTGCGTCTTCATTTCAAAGGCTCTTTTGGTACTACATCAGGTACTCGTTTGTTCTGTCATGTCTGATTTCTATGTTTGGCAATAATTTCCCTTGTCTGTGTTAATATCTAAATAGTTTTGTTTCATTTATTTGATATGAAATGAAAATGTGTTTGCCACAAATGTATCTTTGTCTCGTACTGAAGATGAAGAAAAGAGATTACAATTTCATTTTCATTACATTATATATATAATTTAGCAGCTATTATATTTTGCGCTTATATCTGCAAGAATACAATGTTTCAGAATTTATCAAAAACTTCTTATGTACCATTAACAATAATCGTTTTCACCATTTCTATACTTAGTTTCTTCATGAAATATTCTTTGTCCAAGAGATAATCATAAGCTCCTCTAACAATGACATAAGACCAAATGACAACTGTCGCTCCGAAAAACGACAACACAGCCAAATTGAATGGCCAGATTGGGCCAAAGTGATTCTCCAATTTATGTATGCTGAAAGCATGAATAATTGAGGTGTACGGAATGTCGATATTATTGTTTTACCAAAAGGGAACAACTTTAGCAGCCGAAACCGGTTTCGAGGAAGGTCTCTTCAGAGTATCTCTTTATCGATGGATGAACATTTCTCCTTTAATTTTCAACTTCTCAAAATTTTATTTTGTCCAAAAAAATGTTTACAGGAAAAAAAGAACTCTCTACAGTTTCTTTTAAGATTTGCTGGCATCATTTCAGAAAAAGAAACATGAATAATTCATTTCTGCACAATATGATAAATTTAACTGCTTTGTAATCATGAGGATGTGAATAGAGACCTTTGGAATGTAGCATAAGCTAGACCTGTTTTTTTTATAGTTCTTTTTCTTTCTATTTATTAACTTACCTAACATAAAGACCGAAGAGCCTATGAGTAGCCTGTAATCCCATAGACATGCTTGTTATCGATGCGATTGCTGAAATAATAAGAATTGTGACTTCGATGTGCATAAATGCCATCAGTGGCCAAATGTATTTCGGTTTTTCTGCCACAATACCATAAATCTGAAATTTTGCAGTCAAAAGATGGACAGTCGGTACTATCAAAAGATGGATAGCCATTCACATCAAAACCTTCGGACCTGATGAACGTCAAATTAGCCATGCAACGGTCATTTCAAATACGATTGCAATGGTAGTTCCAAAATTTATTGATTTAATGTACTTGATAATCGAACTATAACTAGTTTGATTTATGACTATTTGTATCTTCAAGAACTGTCTCAATGTTTCGATACTTCTCAACCTTACCAGTTATGCGTTATGTGAAACTATCTTAGTTAATTTTTATGTTTAAAAAAATTAGGTAATTAATTAATAAGCAAGTGAATAAAAGAAGCCGAATACCATTAGAAATGTGGTGAGTACTGCAAAAACAAGGAATACGACTAATATCACGGATAACCATATACGAATATCTTCCTTCTCAAGTCGCAACCCTGTAAATTCATGAATAATTATTACATGAGGATTAAAAATTTTGATCTATGAACTGAACGAGTAAAAGAAAAACATTCATTCACTGTAGCTATTAAAAGTGATTTATATCAGACAATAAGCAGGTCAAAACCAATCATATCTTTGCTAATGAAAACTTACTTAGGAATATGAGTATAGCTATAATGAATAAAAGAATCTCAAGAATTCCGCAGAATATGGCAGCGTTTCGATAATGCATCAAATAACAAAATGCTGGTGCCGAATAGAATTCATCATCTTTGTCGTAGATAAATGATTTCTTTTCTTTCTTCGACTTCTCATCATCCACTGCCACTTCTCGGGATTGAACAGCAATTCTCACTAAAGGCATTTTGCTGAAAGATTTTTCTATAACTTCAACTCGAACTGGATGAATTTCCATATGAAAGTAAATAATGAATCATATACAGTCGTGGTATTCTTTTGATATAACAAACTGAAACATTCTATGGCACTCCTTCTCCCATATTAGAAAGTTCCGTATGGATTTTGCATGGAATCACTCCTGACTACGAATTTTTGAAATCGAAATCAATACGGTATTCTTGCCTTATTTGTTTTAGCAGATGTTTAAGCTAAACTAACCTTAGAAAGAGTAAATGTTGAGAAAACCGGTAACCGCAATGGGAAAAGGGACATAAGGGTGACGAAAGAAGTGCAATGGAGAAGTGGTCAAAATATTATCTATAAAAATACTGTTACAATGAAAGTAAGACTGTTTTTATTGGAAACACATCGCAATAATGTAGAGAACTTCCTGAAATACAAGAAATAAAGATAAGTTAACAATTAAGTGAGAACTCAATGAATAGGACAATCACCGGAGGATTTATAGATATAGGAACATCGGGAATATCTGTATGCCTGTTATTTAGATAAATAAAGTGGAAAGGAGATGGAAATCAATTAAAATCTTTATTTCTTTTCCTATAACGCTTCATTGGAGGATTGATAATGATGGTGGATGCGCTCATTGTCATCTCCTTTCTTCCACTCACTACTGTTACAATCGCCACCTTCAATGATGACCTAATTTCCCTACGTTGGATTATTAGAGAGATGGTAAGTGTTATATGGTATCAGAAATAATCATTCTTCTGCAAAAATTCATTCATTTCTAGAAAGTTGAGGACTTCTTCTTTACACCATAGAATTTGTCATTTCCATTCAAATGTGATTTGAATAAATTCCTCCAAAAGAAAGACAAACTAAATCACAACGATGAAACTATGGTACAATATATTTTCGTAAAGGGCAATGAAGTTATGGAGCGTTTTGGTGTCAAGTATAGCGTTCAGGTTTAATGATAGTAAAGAATGAGAAATGGCAGGGATATTTCTTGAGGAGAGTTCCGTGTCAAGGTACTTTCACATTATCGGGCTTCCTCTTCCTTCATTTCCATTTGTCGTTCCGTTTTTTGCTTTCTGTAATAAATACAGATGTTAGAGAGGAATTCGTACTGAATGTAACTCTTTGCTAAATTATATTTTGACCTCTGTTTTTATCCCATGAAAACTCTTTGAAGTTATTTGCGACATAATGATTTTTACTTTCGTGTAGGAAACGAAAATTAAAAGAAGAAGAAGGTCATTGAAGATATGGAGGAGGTACATGAGAGCAGTAATGCTGCTGCTAATGAACGATCTATTGGGACATTAAGAGGAACTGTACAAATCGAAATGGACAGTACTGTGGCCATGGTATCTTTATTTGATATTCCAGGATAAAGTCTGGTTTCGTCACAAGATGATTGTTTTGCGAGCATAGTTCAATATGGTTAATTCGATATTCATTCCCTCCTTGTTCTATTTATAAATGAAGCAAATAAGGGGTAGCTATTAGACATGATATAAGAATTGAAAGAATTCCATCTTGTAGTTAAGCAAATGTGAAAGTCATCGCTACAATTTCTTCAATGATCAGTATTCAATTTTATCTTTCTAATATAAAAATGATTTACTTCGCCAGATTGTAAAAAATCGAATTTGATTGAACGAATAAATTGTCTGAAACGAATGTATTTTAATATTACGTATGGGAATAAATTTTCCATGTACATGAACCACTGTACGATTTTCTTTGATTATTTACAGCATATTTAGGAGAAGATAAAGCTATCAAGGCACAGAATACTATCACAAGATGAAGTGCCTGAAGCAAAGGAACGGAAAAGTGGTATTATTTATTTCCAGACATTGCCACCGAACTTCACTGCTTCAAGAATGCGTAATGAAATGAGTAAATTTGGTGAAATTGGACGAATATATTTGCAAGTAAATATTTTATTGGCTTTGAAGAATTTAGTACCAGTAGTGAATTTTTGTTGTATAATATAGAATCATTAAACTATTTCACTTTCATATTACTGCTACGAGCATTAAAAATTGCTTTGTAGAACTCGATTTCACGATTTTTTCTCACACTAATATACCTCAGTTCTATAAAGTTTCATTTTTTGCACTGCATCTTATACATTACAGGCTGAGAAACGGCGTGATGCAAAAGGTAAACGAAGAAAACGATTTGTGGAAGGTTGGGTTGAGTTTAAGAAGAAAAGCTTGGCAAAACGAGTAGCTGTATCATTGAATAACACAGCGGTCGGTGGGAAACGACGAAGTACTGCTCGAGAATCTCTCTGGACAATGAAGTATTTAAGCGGGTTTGTCATTTTTCTCATTTGATCTTTGACTGTCAGTTCTGAATAGATTTTCAAACCAGAGTTTTGTCTCATTCCATTCTAATTTTAATACCTTTGCATTTTCACAGATTTTTATCTGGAATAGACCAAATCTAATTGCTCTTGACTTATACATGCTTTCCATTGTATTACTTTTGTAGGGCATATCAGACATCGCCGAAGCATCTATCTGGAATCTTTCTACTATCAATTAAGTCCTCTTTCCAGGTTTAAGTGGATACATTTGGTGGAACAATTAAATTTCGAGCATCGGATTGAACAACAACGAATGCGTGTTGAAATAGCTCAAGCAAAACGACAGGCCTCGTTTTTTTCTGATCAAGTGGAGAAAGGAGAACAGTTAAGAAAGCTGGAGGAAAAGGTAATCGAGCTTCTCGGGAGTTTCAGCTAGGTCACATGGCGTTTGATTTCTGTAATCAGTGATTATAGCTATTTCTTTCATGGGTATGAGTTCCTATACCGTGTATTTTCACTTTAGGTCTTAAAGAAAGGTGGCATATGGGATGAGTTCCAGCGACAAGTGCAACAACGCTCAATAATGAAGAAAAATAAGAAGCATGAACATAGCGATGGTCAGCTTTTGCATATGATATTCACTGGATGAATTCATTTCTGCAAGGGATTACTGTTGTTATTTTGTTATGCTTATGGTTTTTTTTTTTTTTTTTATGTAAGGCAAGCTATTGTTTGTAAATGGAAAAAGGGAAGTACCTTTCATTAAGAAAGTATGTCATGTCGGGCAGAGTTTCAGTCGCGGAAGCTTTAAAATACCTTCGATCACCTTGGCTGTCAATACTGTTTTCCAGAAGGTGTTTTTCAGATTGATATTTCTGGTCTTCGTTCAGTTTAGCTCCTAGTCAACTTTAGTAGACTTTGAACACCTCATAACTCTTGCAAAATTCCCATATTTAGTACAATTAATGTGTTTTTGTGTATTGTGTATTTCCTGTTTAAACTTTGGCATTACTCTGCTCGGTAAAGTGTTGCTATGTTAAGCTTACTGATAGGTCTGTACTGATGTTATATAATTGTCTAAAAAATATTGAGGAAAATAAAGCTTTTGGGTGTTCATTGGATTAGCTTTCTCAGCCAATGGAAATATTTCTTACAAAATAACAACGAAAAAATCATTTTCCCCCAAATTATATCGCAACTCGAATCACAACTAGCAGCTAAGTAAAACAGTCTGATTGAAAATAAATACTCATTTCCATGCCTGAACATATTGCACAGCAAGTCAAAAGTTCGAAGGTGCTGGGAATCTCTTTATACTGAAATAATTTCGTACGATAAGACGTACCTGTTGTCGGGTAGTTTTAGCTGTAAATTAGAACATGTAACAATCCCAAGTAATCCAGAGATCAGCCATGCCATTTTAAACAATTTAAGTACTTTCTTTAAGAGCAAAACAATCTTGAAGACAGAAGTACCGTGAGTCAACACAAAGAAGCAGCTACCTAAGATAAACAAAAATTGAACGAGTCTTTTTAACTTTCGCGCCTGAATGTATTTTAATAGAAGGGTCCGATATTTAAAAAGAAAAAATAAGAATGAGTCTGATGTTCAATTACAAATCCACTCTACTGCTTTCATCAAACATGACGAGGAAACTGCAACGAATATTAGTGGAAAAAAATGTGTAAAGAGGTTAAAAAACTCAAAATTTTCGCATTTTCAAATTTTTAACGAAACCATATTAAACATAAACTACTGCGAATAGTAATATATGAATTTTCCTACATAGTTCCTTCTTCATCCACTAAGATCAAGAGGCAGAGAGGTTAACTGATGGCAGTTTAGTAAAACGAAGGACACATAGTAACGAGGAGAAACAGAAAGGATAAATCACCAAATTTAAAATCGTTAAAGACAGCCCTTGAACACAGTTAGTTCGTACTAGGTTTCCTTTTTTCTCTCTTTCACTACCAGCACTTTAGCAGTACAGCATAAACTTAAAAGCTGTTAAATCAAAGGATCAGAATAAGGCCTAGATTTTGACCAGCATAACAATAATGTAATTTAATGATAGAGAATAACATTAAAACTACCATTTTTTAAAACAAAAAGTACACTATATAAAATCACCAAACAAAAAATAATGAAGACAAATTTATGTTAATATAACATGCTGAAAATCTATATATTAATAGTCACCTGGCTTCATTTGCATTCAATCATGAACTTAAGATTCCTGATTTTTCGAAAATTAAAAAAAAATAACACGTAAAATCTATGAAAAACGATTTCAGAAACGTTTTTAAACAGATAAAGCAAAAAAAAGTGACTGAAGTTATTCAGAAATTTTTAAGACATTTCCTCCTGGAGTTCATTAGTTATCCAACTTCTGAAGACAAAAAATTTGTCCGTTAGTATAACGCATACAGAAAAGACATTTACTTTTTAATGATAAAAAACCATTACTTCACAGAGGAATTCACATAAAAAAGACAAAGTAAGAGTGAGTTGGCAATAAAAGTGGAAACGAAATTTTAGAAAAGGAAATAGATGTGGTGATGAAGGATACTAAGAGAGGTAATATGTACACCGATGAGCAATACATGCCTTAAAAAATAGATTGAGAAATAGAATACAATTTACGGCTATGCCGCATAAGTTAAAATGCTGGTTAAAATTTCAATTCATTGGACAACCATTAGTATGTTCCATCGGTGCAAACTCCCATTTCTGCCGGCATAAGGGGCACACTGGATAAGCTACTTTTTGTGATTTTGTCCATTTCACGATACAATGCATATGGAAGGCATGACGACACACACCTATGGCCTGAAATTAAAGAAGTAATAAAAAGATCTACTACAACTGCAAGAACTGAACTTGTGAGTATAAGTCACACATAAAATGGATTTAAATTACATAATCTAAATACGGAATAAGAGCTGAAGTTTAACTTACCTATTTGCCTCTCACATAAGCACTATTTTTCTTGATATTTTACTAGCAGAACAAATATAAAAGCCTAATTAGAACCACGACAATCAATTTATATATGAGCTTTACATATTAGAAAACATACAGCTGTGAGGTAAATCAATTAAAAAAATAAATTGTAATCATAAACAGTACTGTAGTTAAAATCAAAGTATATAGAAAAAATGATAAATTAACTACTGCACACACAAGCTGTCGCGCACTGAAAACCCATCCAGAAACTGACAAATAGTAAATCAGTGTTATACTTGCCTCAAGTTATACTGTAAAAGGCTTCCAGTTCATTTTTAAGTACTGTAGCAAAAAGAACTAACAATAGGACATTCGTCACCAGGCGTGTGACACGTAACGCAACAAGAATCAAACGTTTCGCGACAAATCCCACACGGGCCCTCACCGATACTCCATCGCCATTTCGCCGCCACCTTCAAAAAATATTTTGTGGAAAATATGAAAAAGCTTTAAATAATCACTTGTTTTAATGTATAAAAATAGGAAAAGATATACTAACACTCCATTTACGGACGGAAAGTTTGAGACGTGTCTGAGTTGGTAACTTGTAAATCGAAGGTTTGTCCTTGGCACACAATAATGATTCCCCTTTTTCAGCTTTCAAATCATTATGCCGTGCGCTCTGGAAATATCTAAATATTTTGTGAATAAAAATTAACATGAGATAAATTTCAAGTACTTGAGCCTTTAAATCTGCTGAAATTTTTAAAGATTCAAGAATAGGCAACACGTCGCCTAAGACCAAGTTAAGTTCAGTTCATAATAATTTCAGTTAGAATTTCGAAGATAAATAAAGAGAAGGAAAATTCTTATTTGTTCTATTCCTCTACTTCCACAAGGGCAGAATATGTAGGTGAAATAAACATTGGTAACATGCCCTACTAAACATTTCAGTTCTGTAATGCAATATGTTGCATAGATAACAAGGACAGAGAAATGTTTCCTCGATACATTGTGTTGTCTTGTCTTTCATCAACATTAGTCTTCTCACCAATCAATAAAATAAAAGTCTTTTACAATTAACAGTATTAGTAGTTGTAAGGTCAAGTAAAACTTTTTTTTTCTTCCCAAATCTTCGAAATGTTCAGCAGGTCAGATCTCAGTATAAGACAAAAATATTTGCGAAGAATTATCTAAAAATCTCCTCACAAAGATAAACAGTATTAGCTGACCGATTGCAGCATATCTCTTCTCCCTTGAATATCAGTTTTCTCACTTTTGCAAGCTCACTTTCTTTCATACAGCAAAGGAATATATGAATACTTGAAACACTTTATATGAACCAATAACACGAAAAAATCTGAAAAATCTGATTTGCTGACTTCCATTCAGTACTGCTTGTTTCATACCTTAATCACGTTGTTATAATCAATTTAGTTTTAGTGAAAAAACTGAGGAGTAAAAGAGTGCTACAACCATCTTATCAATTATCACTATTGACAATACAGTGACAAGACTTACTTTGCCTTTCCTGTAATTTATTTTCATCAAACACTTCCCAACGAAAACACATATTTCTGTAAAACACTGGAAAAAAATAACAGTTTTGTTTAATTCCTTTTCAAAAAAGATACACCTAGCAACCATAAAGTAGCAGAAGATAATAATGAACCCAGTGATTTAATTCTCACCCTCACAACACAAGATAAAAAGCAGAAAGGTCATGTTCTAATTATGCATTATGAACAATTTTACCGCTATCATTTACATCCTATCTGATTCATTAAGCCATAATGCAGAACATATGTCTGTCAGCTAAATTTACTGTGTAATGATTCAATAAGCCGGAATTTCAGGTCTACTGAATGGCAACACATGATGTGGTCTTGTACTATTTGCTTAATGCCAGTTCAGCACTTTATCTTTCGGCTGCTCATAACGCTTTATACTTTGTGTTAGGTTGGCATACTGTTGTGCTGCATTTTTGGCATTACTGTTTGACATTCTGTTTTCTATTGCTCTGCTCAGTAATTGGAATGCAACGATGGAGTAAGCCATTACCGATCAGCCCATTCATATTACCAATCACTACACAAATCATTATTGTTCTACTTTCGAATCGTATACATTCACAAATACGCTCAGGAAGCTTATACTTACTCAGGTGTGTTTCTTATCATAAGTCCACAAAAACTGGAGGAAGGGTAAAAAACAAGTACGTTCCTTACTCTTCTATAAAGTCCGGGATTACGAAAATGGAATCTTTTTGTAAAATTTTTTTTGCAAAATTTTTAAAATTCCTATAATCGAATCGTAAGATATGTTCCGGAAATTTCAAATAGGGCAACATTGTTCGCTAGCTGTATGTTTCAAACAAGTTATACTTCTTTTTAGCATCTGTAAAGAAATTTACGAAAAAAAGTTTACAGGATTATAAATTTTAGAGTATTCGACTTTTTAACAACAATTACTGTGGCTAAGTTCTCCAACTGGTTACTCAGATCCGAGAGGAATCCCCCCATCAGCTTACTGGTATGTCTTTATTTCTGAATTTGAGCAGTTTCATGTTGGCAAGTGACCAATTAGCCGCCTCTCGAACAGTTTTAATTAAGTAAATTCAATATGAAAGACAATTTACTAGTGCGGTACGAAGAGATAAATACGAATGTGAAATTAATTAGTTATAGCGGAGATTCGCAGAAGGTATGTCCGAGCAGTCGAACCATTGAGCACAGCCCTAACATCTCACGCCACTACAAATCAGCGCCTAGAAGGAAACTAAAGATGAATCAAACATATAGATTATCCACAATGACTTTTTTATAAAATTCGGGCTGCGAACGTCAACAATGTTCGTCGTGCAGGCCCCCACATACAATTGTTTGAACAATGAGTACTAAAGAAGCAAGGAGTGGTTGGGGAAGTAGCAGGGTTGTGGTGGTTTCGGGAGCAGAAATTTTAAAGTGGGAATGTAGTTCGAGGGAGGCTTAAAGTTTAAAAAGAGTAAAGGTAAGGAGTGGGTGGTGGGAAACGGTTGACAAGATATCTTCAGATCTGATGACATGCATGTTCCTCAAGGAGCGTGATTACTTTTCTATTGAATAACTGTGTAAAGTGATATGTGAAATCGACTATTCAGTTATAGTACAGCATCAAAACGGGCCTGGAACGACTTTCCAAAATTCCACTTAATAAGGATGTATGGATCGATACTGCCAAACTTGGATAGAATTCTAGTGCAACGTAATGCTCTGCATCGTACGATTCATTCATATTATACTTCCAAATACAGCGTGTCTTACTTCGAACTCAAAATAGCATCACATCATGTTTAGCGAAATGTCATCTATTTCAGAATCTATTCCTTTAACTCGCGTACAGTCTTTGATTTATTTACCTAAACCACTTAATTACTTAAATTAATCCTAATTTTTTTTTTTTTTTTTTTACAGTTGCTTAAGCTTTTACTGATTTAATTACTTAAATAGCATCTTACAGCAAGTTATTTCTTAACTGCATGAATCATATAATAAAGTCAATAATCTGGTTTAGAATTAGCTTGTATTTTTATAGTTCTGATTAGACCTACAAACACAAGTTTGGATTAGCAGAAAAAAAAAAAACAGAAAATTGATAGAATGCTTTCCTTGATCCCATCAAAAAAAGAAAAAAATTGGTATGTCAAGAAGAAAAGAAATCTAATTTAAGGTGCAGTGTTCCAGATATTTTCGTTTCTTGTTGACCAGCAGAAGTAATGAGATTTACATTTTATCAACTGAAACTTACATACGTTACTGCAAGAGATTATCAAGTCAAACCGTTTCCTTGTTTCCTACTTCTGTTAGTGCTTTTTGAAGATGAACTAAATGCCTCTTCTTGTTGGTTATGACATCCAGTGATACTAAGAGACAAACACTGCATCCTGCCAGAAAATTTCAAATAATATTTCTTGTTGCTGTCGTAACTCCACAATATCGACATATCGCGCTTATGCAATTATAGGAAAGAAATGAGCACACAGTAAATATTAAATTACACCAACGCTCCACTGGATATCCACTGCCGTGCTTTCAGCTACTATCAGCCTTCTGTGGAATCGTTGCTTAGGATGAACTAGCAGTCGTCACGTGAACTGTTGAACTGTTGAATTGCCGAATGTGTCGAAACTATCACGTGGAATCTGTTGAAGATGAAATCTTTTTGTTCCTATTGAACTCTAATGCGTCGTTCCACTATTCTTTACCTGTGGAGTATACATATCCATACTTTCAATTCATTGGTCTCTTTAAAATTAACTACCTTATTTGACTTTTTTAACATCTGTCTATTTAGCTACATTTTTCGGCTTCACCGATATATGCAACATTTCTCGACTTACACGGTTATGAATTGGTCGTATTCTATTTCCTTCTCATTCCTGTTGGTCGTTACCTCGTTTCAATTCCGCCTACTTTTTGAAATATCAACCATTCTGTCGATATTAATTGTTATAGATATGATGACACAATTTTTAGAATAACACCATACATATATTAACCATCTTGAGGAAGAGGGAAAATATTCTTTATCAGAAATTGATGTACTCATGGTTGACTTACAGTAAATTGCATATCAAAACTGAGAAGTAAAAATCCTGTCCTGTACCTTAGCCTGACTTGACAACGACTTTTATTTTGCACTTTATTTAATAATTTCACGAATCAATTGGAACTATGCACGTTATCCATGAGCTTTTTTCTCAATTTCATTTACTCTTTTACTTTTTCTGCTAAACAATAAAGTAAGCCAACCATTACATAAGAGATTTTTTAAATGATTTTCAAGCAAGTTTCTGAACAAGAATTCCAAACTTGGAAATAACAAAGTTGGAAAGAACGGTCTGCACATATTCATAAATATAAATTTAAATAGAGCAAATTCATCGTTAGAGAATTGAACGCACAAAATGTGAGAGTTCTTAATTATTTGCTAAGGAATTCTGTTCTCAGATTAATGCGAGAATACTATCGTATGTTCTGTCTATAGCAATTAACTGTGTTCTAGGAATGAACGTCTTCAATTTACTACGTGTCCACTGATTCATTTTTACAGCGGTGGTTACGTTCGAATGATCTGTATCGTTAATTAAAAATAAAAGTGTCACATTTCAGATCATTAAAATCAATTTGAATTTCTAAGTATTCGGTTCTTGGAAGAATTGTTTTTTCTTGACATTTGTCATTTGTCAATTTTAGGCACATACAAAGGAAGATGAGAGGTCAACGTTGGATGACCTTTGTATAAGTGCTATTAGATTTTGTTGCTTGCTGCCCACCATATACAATCAATCCAGGGTATCTTCCGCTCTCTCAGTCAGTTCTATCTTAGAAGAAGCAAGGTGCTATGTTTTAGCATTACGATTTCACATTGACGCTTAGACGTCATACTTAATTTGATGCTTAGATTTCACATGATCACTCAACTTATGGGTCATCTGTCAGTGAAGTGACGCAAGGATATGTTTAAGTATCCAGAATAAATCATCATTCTTGTCTGTTGTTGTCAATTCGAACTACCTAATAGCGCCAGCTGGCATCAAATTTTTTTTTAAAACGTGTTTGGAACTTGTAAAAGTATGTCTTACTTTAGCAGATTTTTTCTAAGCCAACTTTTTTATCCGTGCGCAAAGACTTTTTCAAAATTTGTAAAATTTAGAAGCCTACATGAACGAGCCATGCTCACGTCCTCATTGTTTTCTTTCTTATTTCCATCATCGAAACTCTTCACGTCCAGATCTTCTCGTTTCTGGAAGGAAAAATACATGCAATTTGTGTCCTAAACTTTTTGTTTTGTTTCGGCACGTGTTACACGCAGATTTAATATGGCAAAACCTCATTCATACGAACGAACTCTTCTGATCAAACTTATGATAATTCATGGAATATTAGTGTGATGTATGCTTCTGAATGATTAGTTAGCATAAAGGTTCAGTGAAGAATTCCGGTAGTTCTAAAAAATGAAAGAGGGGAGGATGTAAACAGCATTTCATGATTTAATGCTATTATTGCTTGCCTAAACTATTCATAATTTTGTTTTTCAACTATAAAATATATAAATCGTTATTTATGAGTTGCAAGATTTCCTGAATTTTCTAGAGAAATCAGCATAACCATAATCAGACAGCAACTCAAGTTGTTATACTCGACAGTATTTGTAAAAAACAAAAGGTTTTGAGAGGTGCGCAATAAGTTCTCCTGATTAAGAGGTGCGCAATAAGTATTTTATAATTTGGCATCATTAAGATTCTAGAGTACGGATGAAACCTTCAAGCACCTTTTTTTGTCTAGTTCTGAAGATTGAAATTTTAAGGCTCCAATTGCATTTGGTGGGTCATTGAGCTGGTTGGAACTTAGCTTGATCGAATATGAAACCTATTCACTCATTTTTGCACCAGTTCTAGCCATCTTACAAGGTTTTCAAGTGCTACAAATACAGAAATGCTATCAGACGCTTAATGCTAATCAACCAGAAACATTCATCCTCTACTTTACAGGTGAAATAATGATTAAAAATTTAGTCTTTTAACTTTTAGACAGTAATGATAGAGAGACACAGTTGTAGTGCAAATAAAGGTAGCACTTTAAGTTGTAAATTGCATATCCATGTCATGTCAAGATCCCTAATGCTTATAATGACATATTGATTTTTTTATTTGCAATTAATTTCTGATGATGCGTTTAATGAGTCTAACTTATAATTGGTCAAGTCAGTCTCTTTTTCTTTCTCAGTAGAAATTATTTTATGGTATAACAAATTTTAGGCTCTTCTACCAAAAATTTTTCCTTTCTCTGCAAAATTTATGGTTCATGCACTTTAAATACTTCTGATAGTAAAATCCCGAATTTTTTTCAGGCTTTACAACGATTGGCCTATCAGTTCCAGCATTTTACAGCTGGATTAATTCAACAATCTCAGCTGATGCTTCATGGGAATCCATCGATTACGTAAGTGCTGTTTCTAAATGATTTCCTGACAGACCAGACCTTGACCCTTATGAATTCCTTTATTTCAGCTATTAATCGGCATGTCACTAATGTTCATGCCGAATTATAAGTACTCTGAGATGTGGCTGCAACTCAATTTAACAGCTTATGATTTTATGGTTTTGGAACAAGCCAAGTTCTGGGCTGCGAGCATCGGGCAGTGGTTGGTGCAAAACATGGCGCATGCAACAATATTTGCTCTTACTGGAAAAATTATTATGCTTGGCGCTTTGATGCGATATTTCACTGAAATTAAACAGCCACAAAAGGCTGACTACAATAATCTGTCATAAACATTGTTTAATTAACAATTTATTATATCTTATTCGTTCTCAAAATTTCATTTGCAAGTGTTTATAATTCGATTTTAGTTTCTCAGTTATAGTCTTGATGAAATTTTTAGTCGTTGTCAGCACAAATTGGATATAAGACTGCTTTCTCTTTGCGGAAGTGTCGTATAACGATTTTATTAAATCAGATTTCAAGTTTCATTAGCGTTTGAATCAAAACAATCTATCTATGCAGGATCACTGTCTTGTTCTCTTATTATTGAAAGGATAAATGAATGAGAAATATTCCGTTTCCAAAAATGACACAATTTGTTCAAAAAACCGGGGCTTGTTTTCTATGCAAAAAGTTTTAATGTTAAGAAAAATTATGTAAAATTTCCTCAGGTATTAATTTCACTCTAAGCTTTCAGGTAATTTTCAATTCAGTTTCATTTCAAAGAAGGAGATTTTCTAAAATAAGTAAATTTTAAAAATTTTGAAGACTTTGAGATTATTGATTGTGAAGGTGTGATTTTATCAATATTAAAAATCTCTTAGTGAGATCGATGATCAGGTTAAGAACGGTAGGTCGTAATTGACATTTTACGGTTATGCAGCCGAATTTTGTTATCTTTACCTTATTTAAGTGGACATTTCATTCGTTCCACTTAGAATCATTTTTCCTTTAATTCATTCATTAATCCTATTTGCTCTTCTTTGTATTTTTGCTTCAACTGATTGAATAATTAAGGACTTCATTAGAAATAATAAATTTAAAGAAATGTAAGAAATTATGTGTGAAATGAGTTATAATAAATAATTTGAATTGGCAATTTGATTTGGATAACCTAAAGTTCCTACTAAAAATGTAGAAAGTATTAAAAGTTAGAATTGGAAGTACTACCAAATTTTTTCGAGCTCACTGTTAAATGATTTCAAATTGAAGTGGCATCATTAGAGCTAACTAAAAAACATTTTCGTCATTTCACAATTCCGTCAATCTGCCCTCTGTTTTCTCCGCCTCACACGAATTTCTGAGCAGATAGAAATTTTGAAGGGGAAAAAAGTGTAATGTTAAGTGTAGATGTTGTAATGTTAAGTGTAGATCTTGGTACATGCTTCAGATGCATGTTGATACTGATAATAGAGAGAGGAACTTTCGCTTAGTTCCCGCAGGTATATATCAAAAAAAAAAGAAAAAAAAAAAAAAATCAGCCGACACAGTTGTTTCTGGTAGGCGGTAAATTTGAGAGCAGAAAGCACGACATCCCCGGGCAAGGTGCAGCCTGACTTAAGCCGTTAGCATAGACCGTGATGTGAAATTGTGGGCGAGAAGCAGTGAGAACCATCTATTCTTGGGTTTCAATACCTTCAGGGTAAATCGTAAATACGTACCACACAGACATAGACAGACAGGCAGATAGACACACACACATGCATACACCAATGCTAAAGTGCAGTGTTTCGGATACGCTTAAGTTCCTGAAAATTTCTGTTTAGCCTTCGAGTTACTACGGCAATTGAAGAAGAATGATATAATAGTTGAGGGTCTCTCTCCAGTATCACTGTTATCGTGTCTGTCTATCTATGCGATCTTCAGACTAGCTATCAGCTATCAGTCTATCAGTTAGTCTAGGCAGTTCTTCGAATCTTAATGAGATGTGCTGGCTGATAGCAGTGGCAATATCAACTGTGGTAGTGGCAGAAATGTTAGTGTGCAAGTTGAAGTTGCGGGAGTATCGGGAAGTTTTAATTTATAATGTGTCTCTGGTCGACATTCTTCGTTTGTTAAGAATGGTCTTCCCTTTCCGCAACGTTATCGTTTCAACATCTGTTTATTTGCCACCTGTAGGAACTCGTAAACTCATAGTTACCTTTTCCCATTTCATGAAGGGAAAACCGATCGGATAGGAAATGTAACAGATTAAAGAAATTAAGTCAATTTTAAAATCATTATATAAAACATATCGTTTTGATTTACATCGGGATCTCGATACCTTTGCCATTCATCCCTTAACCAAGAAATATAATATTACTGCGAATTACATCCATCATCACTTAGCTTATGACTAAAAGCACTTTCTTAGCTTTGTCCATCAATTATTGCTATATTTTTGACATCATCTGCATGACAAAACTATTGTTATTTCTTTGTGAATCATTTTATCAACAATGATAGAAAAAGTTATAATTCTTAATGGTATGTATTTTGAAAACTATAGCGTTTACCATTTGTAGTACAGTCAAATTCTGCCAAAATTTTAAAGTTAATTTATACAAATTGAAAACATCAAAACTTTGGTATTTGATTAATTCCTCGATAGGCCATATTTCTGCACTATTTCTTATAGCTTAGCTGTTTGTGATTACTGCATCACACAATATAGTATACTTCCGAAAATGGAATGCGATGGTGTCAGATATTACAAAAGGCATCAAAGACATTCCAATTTCATCTCTTTTTATAATTGCTGCTCACTGGTTCGTTTGACAGCTCTTTCACCCAAAGTTCAAATTTGCTTCAGTCTGTCCAATCCTCCATTTGGTCAGTTTTATTCAGCAATCCTCTTTCACTTACTAATTTATTTGCTCACTTGTTCATTGAAATATTGTAAATCATTGCACAAACAATGTTCATTGATGGAAGCGCTCCAGTTATTTCTTATAAAAACATTGCCTTTCAAAAGACAATGTTCTGTCACCAAAAGTTTTATAATTCAAAAATAAGAATTAACTTTTTTCCCGAACATTCATTTTACTTCTGTTCGAGCTGTGAAATGAGTAATAAATAATTTATTTGTGATTGTTTAAGATGGAGAAAAATTTCTTTCACATTTTTCAATCAGTCATCTGATACCACATTATAATGTTTTTATTTATTTAAAAAGTTTATGAGTTTTGATTTCGAAGAAAGATAAAAGTAACTTTAGTAATGCCACAAGTTGCAACTTCAGGTCATCAATTCGTAATGTCTGTGTTTGTGTTTCAGGAAATAAAACTCAAAGAGACCAAACTGAGGGTGCAAATTTTCTGTAAATATGTTTATAATTAGAGATGATTAATGAATAGTTGCTGACTAAAATTATGTTTATTTTGAAGTGACATTCACCAAATGTTTTTGAACTGAATTTGAAATTACAAGAATGCTAAAATTTTTGAATCTAATTTCCGAACGAATTAGAATTGAAGCTTACCACTTTTTTGTTTTTTTGTTTTTTTTAAAAGAAGTTCTCATCAATTGAACTAACTTTAGTCAATATAGAAAGCTTTGAGTGATTTTGAACCTGAAACTTCTGGCATTATTTTGATATTAAAATTCTTTCGTAGTTATAGTCACCAAATTAACTGAATACCTTTAAAATTTCGCTGATTCGAAAACTGCACTATGCTAAACTCACAGGTTTAAGTCAATATATAATACCATCAACACACTTAAAATATATTATGCCACGTTTTCTATACTATAATTCAGAAAACAAAAATATCGCTTGAAAATTCATTTAAGATACTATTTTTTTCATTAATTCTTTGCATAGAGCAAGCGAACAGCTGTGTCATTTTTGTTTTCAAAAGATTCTTAAAAATGAACAGTTAGGATGCGGGTTAAACAAAATAGAGTTCGAGGTTCAGCTGTTCGTCTAATCTTTAAATGATACAAATCTTTCCACAGTTAAAGAGAATATTTCTTTCGTATGATGGAAATTACTGAAATCTAACTTTAATGAAATTAAATTTAATTTAAATGAATCTAATTTTCAACCGGTCAAGCAATAATGTTGAAAGGCGTTAATATTTTAAAAACCAAAAAAAAAAGAATATATGTATGTCTAAAATATAATATCATTTTTAATTTTCAGAAAAGTTCTCAAGTTGAACTATTCAGTCTATTCTTCAAAATTTCAATTCTCCAATTACTTGGTGGTGCTTTTGTCATTCAATTCTTCTTAATTTTATCTTGCATATATGTTTGTACCCTGTATGATTACGCAAAGGGTTGCAGTTTTTTGTGTCCAGAAGTATCTGTGTCTGTTAAAGTTAGGTTCGATTGTTAGTTACGTTTGTGAAACAGCACTTCTCTTTTTCATTCGAACAAAAATTCAATCTTCTTATTCAATCTTCTTTTCCTGCTGAAGCTTAACTCTTCTTCACTAATTTGCTTTCCTAATTGCTGTTCAGTCTCATTTCATCTTTTTCTATCACCAAAGTTGTTAAACTTCAATTCGCATTTCTTTCATCGCATAATTCATCCGCCTATTTTGAATTCTTTTTTACAAAAAAAAGAAAGAAAGAAGATTATTATCACTTGGAGATTGTTTCAGCTGCAGTCTTTCTCGCTGCTAATTGCATGCTATATTATTCTTATTTCGATTGAGTTCATCAATATTGGATGCATCCGCTTGATTGCTTTATTAGTACCACAGTATTGTGATTTGTTGCGACATACGGGAAAAATGGCATTGAGCAATCATTGTTTCAGGGAAGTTTCATCATTGTTCCGGTTCTGTTACTGAGTAAACACTTACTACACATCCAAATTATCAATCCTGTCATTATCACTTATCTTTTCACTTGTTTCAGTTCTCGTATAGCCAGCAAGTGTTATTGTTAATTCTGATTTGAACAAAAAATCTTGGTGGCTATCAATTTTTTAAATCAGTAAAATTTCCTTTTACATGTCATATAACAAGTTTTCATCACCTTTTGAAAAGGGAAGAACAATTTCTGAAGACTAATTATAGTTATAGTTAAGAAATTATTCGTCTGCAAGTCGAAATAGCAGAATTTCAAGAAACACTCGTTCGTCTGTTTAACTTCTATATTCTTCTAAGTCAAGTTCGAACGAAAATGTTGCATGGAAATATGCAAGATATATATGGTGTAAGATCTAGCTGTGCGATAAAACGATGACCGGATTAGCAATCGGAAATATATTTCTCCTACAATCATTGAAATTAATTCTTCTACTAATTAATTAGAGATTCATAAATAAAGAGCATAGCAATTCAAGGAATTCACCTTTGTAA